AAATCATGCTTCAAATAAGTGGGGTACGGCGTACCTCCGCGTCCAACGCCCACTACACCACTGACTGCAACTACAAAAAGACTAAGGTTTGTTTTCTTCATCAGGAAATGCAGACCGGCTCAAACAAAAGATTTTTAAATCATCAACCTCACGATCATTTAATGTATCATATGTTCGCCGAATTGACATGAAAGCACTAATAAATGTAGTTTCATCCACTTGAGTTTACAACTACAAAAATAATCGATTTGTTTTTATATCACATCCTACGGGAGGAAATTCAGCAGCTCTCACTACCGATTTTTAATCATAATTTAATCATCATCTTCACCACGATCATTTATGTTTATGTTTGCCAAATTGACATGAAAGCACTGACAAATATGAATATACTGTAGTCAACTTCATTAAAACGTTATTAACGTGCCTAAACTCAGTAATTCACAATTTCTACGCATGACAGCACACTATGTTTGGCTCTCTAGCCGCACAGTCAGCGCACAGTGAAGCGTTCCCGCATTGACGTCACTCCCGGCTTCCCCCAAAACTTCAAAATGAGTCGAAGGAATTTCCCCGCGATGTTCGAAATTATTGATATTTATCGGAACAGGCTCTTTAAATAAGATCTAAACAATACAAAAAAGGGCAATAAATGTTGAATTTATGTTATTTGTGATATGAATCATACTTTTCTGAAACAGTTTAAATATTTCCCTCTGGTGATTGTTAAACATAAACGAGAGTTGATTTCATATTTGTGCGTTTATATATTATAAGTGATATTCAGTATTTTAAACCAACCAGAGCTGGACATAAAGTAAATATACAATAGTTTTCTAGAATTAAAAAGTGAAAAAGTGTGAATTACTGTGTGTGCCAGCTCCTCTTTCTGTTTGCGGGCCTCCGCTCGGCCCTCCTCTCGGGCCTCAGCCAGTCTCTCCTTCAGGACCTTTGCTTCTCGTTCTAGATGTTCCCTCTGTCGAGCCAGCTCCCTGGACAGCTGCTCACACTGCACCTCCACCTGCATGCACACAAACAAATACAGGAGGTTATCCAGACCAGCCGCAATTGGAATATAGAAAGTCAAATCTAAATGACTGTAAGCTAAGACCGATGGAAAGATGTGTGCATGTTTCTCTGACCCTCGCTTTGTACAGATGTGCTTCTTCCGCCATCTCCACAGCCTGTTTGACTTGAAGACAGGCTGACCACTCTCTCTGTTGCGCCTCCTGCTGACTGGCCCGCACGGCACGCAGAGCCACCAGCAACTCATCGCGCTCCCTTAAAGATTGACGGACAAGAAATTGGGGGGGTAACGTTAGCAAAAAGGAGGAAATGATTTGCACCTTTTTCCCTTGTATGTTTTTTTCTTTTTTAAACTACTAATAAAAAGAGCATCAGTAATCATAAAGGCTCTTACAGACACATATAGAAACATGTCAATAAGGTGCAATATATTAATGCATAATTGTATTCTTGCTCAAATAAAGAGACAGGGTTCATACACTTTTTCACCAATGATTTTCAATGACTTCTCCATGACCTTTACCTAAGTTTCCATGACCAAACAAATTACTCTTTCTCAGCGGTACCACTGAAAATGTTTTGTTTTAACATGGAACAGGAAAATAAGGTCTGCATAGGAAACATGGTTTAGACGTACACGTCCGGTAGCTGTCCAGTGTTTTCAGTCACGGTTATATAAAGACGATTAGTATAGTGTTCAGTGACATATAGTAGAGAGTCCGAAGAATGCCAGGTAATGTTTTGACCTTTTCAGTACCTTTAAGTTTGTCCGTTTAAGGTCGGGACCTTTCCAATCGCTTTTGTTATAAAAAGGTTTTCAAGACCTTTTCAGTCCGTTACATGTATTGTCACACGTAGTTATATTTAAATGTAAATAGATTAGCAGCTTTATCATGTATCGATATGTTACTATCTGATATTAGAGTTTATAAACATAGCATAGTCTTTACTTTGAATTTTACCGTAAAATTGACTGCTCCATAAAAACGGACCACTCTCTAAACTCAACGAGTCGGACATCTATCTGATCACTTGGTATGATGTAACCTAACAAAATCTANGGCCTGGTACGGCAGCTGCACCGCCCTCAACCGTAAGACTTTACAGAGGGTGGTGAAAACTGCACAGCACATCACCAGGACGGAGCTGCCATCCATGGAGGACCTTTACTCCCAGCGGATCAGCAAGAACTCCATGGATGGCAGCTCCGTCCTGGTGATGTGCTGTGCAGTTTTCACCACCCTCTGTAAAGTCTTACGGTTGAGGGCGGTGCAGCTGCCGTACCAGGCCGTGATGCAGCCAGTCAGGACCCTCTCTATGGTTCACCTGTAGAAGTTGCAGAGTATCCTGGAGTCCATGTTGAACCTCCTCAGCCTGCGGAGGAAGAAGAGCCGCTTTCGAGCTGTTTCGGTGATGGTGTTAGTGTGAAGAGTCCATGTCAGGTCCTCAGTGATGTGGACACCGAGGAACCTGAAGCTGCTGACTCTCTCCACCGTAGTCCCATTGATGGCGATGAGGGTGTTTCCCTCTCTCTGCTGCTTCCTGTAGTCCACAATCAGCTCCTTGGTTTTGCTGACGTTGAGATGGAGGTTGTTATCCTGGCACCAAGATGTCAGGTTTTCGACCTCTCTCAGCAAAACTTCACGATGGTGTTGTTGCTGTGTGTGGCCACGCACAGCGCCATATAGATAGAAGTCTGGCCACACAGTCGTGTGTGAACAGTGTGTGAACAGGGGTGGAGAGGGCTGAGCACGCAGCCTTGAGGGGCTCCGGTGTTGAGGATCAGGGTTGAGAATGTGATGTTTCCCACCCGCACTGCCTGGGGTCTGCCCGTCAGGAAGTTCAGGATCCAGTCACAGAGGGCGCTGTTGAATCTGAGGTCTCTGTGCTTGAACCTTGAATTAAAGCCTTGTTGCATATTGATGTTTTTCAGGATGAAGTGAAGAGGTATCATCTCTCGCATCATATTGAAGGAGCAGTTCCCAAGGTGGAGCGGTACGAACCCCCCATTCACAAAGGTCTCTCCTCAGTTCCATGCATAGCTCATATTTTGGATCCGTAATCTACAACAAGGTCGTTACTGCTGATGTAAATCATTAGACATTTTGCCAAACCAAGGCCCACTTTTGAGCATGAACTCTACGTACGCTCTTTCTCTCCGAAAGGCCTTTATGCCATTATTCAAGTATCTTTGAAATATAACTTGATTTGTTTGCTTAAAACTGTGTCTGTGTTTCATTCTTGTTATGGCATTGTTGTTTATCTAGAATCTTGTCATGCATCATAGAAGGCCTCCTCGTATGGAGTGAGGAAGGGTATGACATGCCACTCGTCGCGTGGCAACAAACCATTGAAAATCAAGGCTATTGTGTGAGTATCACTGTTCTCATTGGAGTCAATTTCACAAGAGTGCCACCATTGTTCCTCGACCTTAAAAGTCGATTTTATTTGTGAGGGGAGAAAATCCAATTTATTCGGCTTTAATTCAAATCGACGCTGTAGGTCGACCAGCAGAGGGCACTCTGATGATGATCCTCGTAGGCTGCCCAATCTCGACCATTTTCCCTATACAAGGCCACTCCTTTTATAGATTAACAGGCAGGGACGCTCTCGCCTCGTCTTCCACTCTTGAACGACGAGATAGAAAAAGAAAGCTAAAGTTTTGTAATAGAGTTAACATATTGGGATGTACGAAAGGTTGAGACGGATTGTAAAACATTTCAGGTAACCTCACAGAAACGGCAAAGGAAATAGGATGCAGGACAGTCGACGGAGCAAAGGGAGACTAAAATGTGGAGAAATAGAAGTAGGAATGGAGGGGGGGGGGGAGTATTGTTTTGGAGGCTAGAGTTTAATGCTTATTCAATGTTCATTTGGCGCGCTGTCTTCTCTGGTCCAATGGGGGATTGTCCTCCATCGGGTAATTGNGGCGAACATAAACATAAATGATCGTGGTGAAGATGATGATTAAATTAGGATTAAAAATCGGTAGTGAGAGCTGCTGAATTTCCTTCCGTCGGATGTGATATAAAAACAAATCGATTATTTTTGTGGATGAAACTACATTTATTAGTGCTTTCATGTCAATTCGGCGAACATATGATACATTAAATGATTGTGAGGATGATGATTTAAAAATCGTTTGTTTGAGCCGGTCTGCATTTCTTGATGAAAAAACAAACCGATGCTTTTTGTAGTTGTAGTACACCAACATGGATTAAACGTGTGTTTTTTTTACCACAATGTTGGGGAAATTAATGGATAAAATGCACAGATTATTATTATTATTACCACTCCGACCGGGACACTAGGTCCACCGTTTCCCCACAGCGAGGCTCCCCCCGTTGACAGTTTACGTGGGCTGGGCTGGGTGCAGTGGCGGACTGGCCATC